GGGTTCAGGGTTCAGGGTTTCGGGTGCAGGGTTTCGGATTTAGGGTTGTAGGGTATAGGGTTTAGGGTTAGGGTGCTCAACTTGTCCGGTCACAGGGAGGTTGGGCTTAGGTTTGGCGTGTTAGGGCTTCGGGGTGTAGGGGCTTGTATGTGCGTTAAGGATGTAGCGCTTTGGGGCTGAGGAGGCTAAGGGCAAGGGGTTAGGGTTAAGCCTCAAAGGTCCGGATGACCTGTTCTTGGGCTTATGATGCCGTGATACCATGGTTCTGCTCTGCAACTCCACACAGGCTAAAGTAGGTGCTAAGCTACATACGTATGCATGTGTATATATATATATATATATGTATATATGGATCTACAGATAAACATACATACATACATACATACATACATACATACATACATACATACATACATACAGACAGACAGACAGACAGACAGACAGACAGACAGACAGACAGAGAGACAGACAGACATACATATACCTGCACGCTGAGCCTTGGCGCTCGTAAAACCGTTGACCCTAAACCCTACCGGTTTAGGGTTTAGGGTTTAGGGTTTAGGGTTTAGGGTTCAATGTACATAATGGCGATATATAGAGGTCTTCAGGGTGTTCGGACGTGGAGTCTCAGGCTTTGGTTGGGCTAAGGCTCCAGGCCTGAAGGCCTTTGTGTGCCTAATGTAGGGTTTAGGGTTTAGGGTTTAGGGTTTAGGGTTTAGGGTTTAGGGTGCATAGTTCTCCAAATTTGGGTCCCTTTTTGGGTCCCCAATGTAGTACGGCACCCTTGTAAGAAGGACCCCAAAAGGGGACCCTAATTTAGAGAACTCCCCATACAATGTTTCGAAGAATGAAGCTCGCAGGACGATGAACAAGGAATGCATAAGTCCCAAGCTCCTGCAGGGTCTTCATGACGAGCGATTTAAGACAGTGGCATTTAACGTCATCACCACTGCCAGCGCGAGTGGGGTGGCCAGCTGTCATGGCCAGCGAGAAGGTTGCGAAACACCAAAAACCACGGATCACGGGTTACGTGATGCCTCCGATTTCTCTCGGATGTGAATGCACGTCTCCACAAAGACACTGGAACAAGCAGCTGTCTGACAAGACCAGACATGCATAGCGAAGGCAGCGAAAAGAAAGTGCAGGGAGATCGTAGACAACCTTGCAGCACCGCGGCCAAGCCAGAACGGCTAGCACAACGCTTATTTGAATACAACCCTGATGCAATAAAGCCCTAACGTCCCACCACTGTAATGCTCTAAAAGCCCGAGACCAGGAAACACTAAATCCTAAATGCCTTCTACAAGCCTTAACAAAAGCCTCTTATGGAACCCTTGACAAAACCCTCAAAAGAAACACTCAAGGAATCCTTACAGAGCCCGGACTAAAACCCTTAACTCCAAAACTCCAGGCCGTCCTGGGTGAGTCGCTCGGGTGCACCTCGGCGTCCGAGCAAAACGAGCCAAGTAGGGCTCAGACCCAGAAACTGGAAGAATCTATGGGTCAAAGAAAGACTTTTCGGGCACAGGGTTGTAGGGTTTAGGGTTTGCAGTTGAGGGTTTGCGGCTTAGGGTTTGGAGTTTAGTATAGGGTTCGGGGTTTGGAGTTGTTTGTTCAGGATTTGGGGTTTGGGGTTCAGCGTCCTTACAATCCAGACTCCCTAGACGGGTGTTGGAGCATTTTAACTCGTTTCATTTCGGGACCTCGTGGTACTGCAGCGAACTACAGCATAAAATCACGACAATGCGTGGGGGTTATTCCAAACGAGGATCCTGCTATTTATAGAATCGCACAGAAAGTTGGCACGGTAATTCCCGGATGCCCTTAAAGGCGGCGCATGAAGAATCCTAGCATCATCCTAGAAGCATGGGATTCAGGATTTAGGTTTAGGGTTCAGGGTTTGGGGTTCAGGGTTTAGGGTTTAGGGTTTTGGGTTTAGGGTTTAGGGTGGTTCTACTGTGGGCTTGTCTTCCGACACTCCAGGCTGCAGAAATAGGGCCAGGGACCGAAATCCGAACTTCTCAGCCTCAATGCTTTACGGTATGGCATGCAGGGCTTAGGGTTTAGGATTTACCTGTAGTCCCCATTGTAGTCCCCATTGCAATTCTTTTGTTTGGTTTAACCAAGCTTCTAGTCAGGATTCTGTAAGGTACTCCAAGAAAAGGATCTACAATGGAGACTATAGGTGGAACATTTCGAACCCCGAACCCTAAACCCTAAACCCTAAACCCCAAACCCTGAACCCTAAACCCCGAAACTCGAACCCTCCACAAAACGGAATAATTCCCTGCAGAATGCCTTCAACTCACAGCACCAGAGAGAAAAACGGTACAATCCCACGACAGCTGACCCAAAGGCCCCACCGGGAAAGGCCCCCAACAACCTAAACCCTGAACCCCAAACCTTATAAAACCGGGTTTAGGGTTTAGGGTTTAGGGTTTAGGGTTTAGGGTTTAGGGTTTAGGGTTTAGGGTTTAGGGTTTAGGGTTTAGGTTTTAGGGTTTAGGGCTACTAGACCCTAAAACCCACACCTTGTCTAACTGACTCTATGTAAACTCCAAACCTTCTGACCCCTGAACCCCGAACCTGATAAACTCTAAACCCCAACCCTAAAACCCTAAACCCAAAGCCCTAGACCCCAAACCCTATAAACCATCATCGAACCCCTTATAGAACTCCTGAGCCTAAATCCTAAACCCTGAATCCTAAACCTTAAACCCTAAACCCTAAACCTTAAGCCTTAAACCCTCAACCCGAAACCCACCCGGGAGGGAACCCAAAACTTTGAGGAGTTTCTGGGCCGCTGTCGACGTTTAGTGTTTAGGGGTTCAGGGGTTTAGGGGTTTAGGGGTTTAGGGGTTTGGGGGTTTAGGGGTGTAGGGTTTAGGGGTTCGGTGGTTTGGTGGTTCAGTGGTTTAGGGTGTAGGGGTTTAGGGTTTAGGGCTTTGGGGTTAGGGTTGCGGGTTTGGGGGTTAGGGTTATAGAGAGCTCGATAGTTCGAAGAGGGCTGAGTTTTTTGTTTGGGGAGGGATGCGTAGATGATAGAGATTCGGCCTTAGGGTGTTCGAGCTTATAGTGGCTTGTCGGGTAGACTATTGGGATTCCGGTCTATGGGCTTAGGGTTTATAGGGCTTAGAGTCACCCTAAACCCTGGGTTTAGGGTTTAGGGTTTAGGGTTTAGGGTTTAGGCTTTAGGGTTTAGGGTTTAGGGTTTAGGGGGCTTAGAGTTTATAAGGGCTTATAGGGTGTAGGGGCGGTATAGCATTCATTATTCTGAAGAAACACTCTAGACCCTCACGGCCTCAACCTACTGTGCCTCCAGGCAAGGGGATCGGTTTGTAGAACACCTGCTAGGGCTTCCCACCTTCAACTTCCCGAGTCACACGGACGTCAAGGTGCACACCTGACGGTTCGAGCGCGGCGGTTTCAGAAGCCAGGTTTTCCACTTTGCCATCGACTGTCACCACCGCGGCTCTTCCTTGGAGATGAGTGACGCCTTTTCGAAGGACCATTTGCAACTCCCACATCCCACAGGAGCTTCGGTAAACATGCAAGCCCTTGTACTATGATCGGCTTGCAGCTGACCCTGCTACGTTCGCAGCTTCCGCTCCAGTTTACCTTGTTTAGGCGTAAGAGGCTGAGGGTCTAGGAAGTTGGGGTGCGTGGGTTTATACCATTAGGGGTGAGCTGTGGGGTAAAAGGGCACCGGGCCGTGGTCATCACAAGAAACCCGCATGGAGTTTAGGGTTTAGGGTTTAGGGTTTAGGGTTTAGGGTTTGTCGGACCTTTTTCAGCAAAGCTGGAACCACAGCCCCGGAGATTACAAGCCCTAAACCCGACACCGAAAGCACCGAGACTCTACGCCATGGCCCCAACAGTACCAAAAACCGCGAACCCCACACTCAAAGAAGCAAAGCCGTCAGCCCACACCCAAAACAATAAAACCTCAAACAAGACACGCAAAGAAGTAGCCGAGATAGTTTAGGGTTTAGGGTTTGGGGTGTGTGGTTCAACCTTCCACCGAAAGCACCACCAGTCCACACACTAAACCCTAAACCGTCTTTCTGAAGTCCGGGCTGTCACAAGCTGCAGGCTTCGATTTGCCGGACCTGAAACTTTTGGGGGGGTTTGTTTCGGTTTAGGATTTAGGGTTTAGGGGTTTAGGATTTAGGAGTTTAGGGTTTAGGGTTCAGGGATTTTCGTGTATCGGTTTAGGGTTTAGGGGTTTAGGGTTTGGAGCTTAGACGTTAAGGCAAAGGCGCTGAGGGTCGAGGAGCTTTCGCTTTGGTGTTTGCAAAGGAGCGACTTTGGGTGTCTTAGCTCTGGTTGGGGCGTCAGGATTTAGGAAACGGTGTAGAGTTTAGGGTTTAGGGATTTAGGGCGCGTGACCTCTTGCAATCGGAAGGGTTTGAGGTCCAGGGCTTGCGAGCCCCATCGGAAGACCAAAAGCGAGGGTGAAGACTAGAGAGTTTACTTGGAGGTTCATGGGTAGATATAACTGGGGCTATAAGTAGGGTAACTATAATGATAGCCCATATTAGGGGACTTATAACTCCACTGAAAACTAACCATGAACCTCCAAGTAGGGTCGAGGACTTGAGGATCAGGTGGTCGGATATCCGGCTTGCCATAGCTTGGAGTTAGGATTCCTGGGGGGGCCCTTGGGGATATAGACCTTCTCAGTAAGGTCCCGTTTAAGAGAGCCATAAGTAGGGTTGAGACGGGTCCCCTTTAAGGGGCCTCCCTAGAACTGCCTAGGAATGGAACCCTGAACCCGGAACGACACAGACACAACGCCAAGGCCAGGACGATTCGTGGGAAAAGTAGAACCTGCACGTCCATGTGATGTGCAGGTTTCCTAGATTAGATTGCTGTTGTGGAGCTGGGAGTTGTGGGGCTGGGGAATGGGCGCTCATAAGCGGCCTAGGGTTTAGTTTAGGCTGAGGCTTGTTCAAGGTTCTTCATGTGACACCCTAAACCCGAAACCCCTGTAAGGTTCCACCTATAGTCTCCATTGTAGTTCGGGTCCCTTATAGGATCCTAACTATAAAGTTAGTTAAACTCCAAAAAAGGAACTACAATGAAGGCTGCACGTACAAAGAGGGTGTCGGAATTGGTCTTGAAGGAAGCTTCAGATTAGTGGCTCTGGCACTGTAGCTGGCCTTGGGTTGTTCAGCAAACTGACCCTGACCTAAACCACAAACCGGTTTAGGGTTTAGGGCTTAGGGTGTAGGGTTTAGGGTTTAGGGCTTAGGGTGTAGGGTTTAGGGCCTAGGGTTTAGGGCCTAGGGTTTCGGAGGGGCCAGACACCATGAAATGTTCAGGGGACTGGATCAGGGGTTAGTTGAAATCGTGGAGCTTTCGATGCACGGGTCTCCGGGTCATGCTTTCGGCATCAACGTTTCGGGGTAGAAGCTGCGTGGAGATACTAGACACTAGATTGCTGTCCCCGATCCAACATCCACTCTGGCAGAAGCAGAAGCCATCCAAAACCTAAACATGAAGCTTGGGCAGCTCTCCAATCACTTACCGCACTTAAGCCATGTGCTCTGCTGTCAGAACTGCCGGATCAGCCGCCTAATTTCCAAAATCCTGTAAGCCTCAAGTGCCAAAAGCATCAAGACGGGCCTATCTCAGTATCATTAGCCGCTAGCCTTTGGCTGTTATCATCCATATCGTTGAGTATCTCCAAAGGCCTTACCCCGAAGCCCTGCATTCCTAAACAGCAAACCTAAGCCTGGCTACACTGGACCTTGACGCACGAAACCCTCCGCCAAAACGCTGGTCACTAAACCCGTGCGTAGAAGGTTTCCCACTCTGACAGCCTGGTACCAAAGCCAAATGATTTACCTGTGGTCTCCGCTGAGTTCCTTTTTGCAGTTTAACAAACTTTATAGTTACAGTTAGGATCCTAAAAGTCAAACAAGAACTAGGGTTTAATGCCAAGGCCCAAGATCTTATTCAAATTTAAGCCCTCCCGTCAGCCATCAACCGAAAACCCAACTTTGGATGTAAACCTGACATCCTCCGCTCCTACTAACCCCAAGTCATCTGCACGGAGCGGAGAATCTGAACCCTAAACCGACCCGACGTAACACATCCGAAGTATCCGCCCCTGCGACCTTACGGCGTTGAGTTCTACCCCCGAAAGCCTCACGCCTTCAACCTGTTCAGGGGTTTAGGGTTCAGGGTTTTAAGGTACGAACTCAACGTCTCTACCTATAGTCTCCATTGTAGTTCCTTCTTGGGGGTACCTTATGATAGGATCGTTACTATTAAGTTGGTTAAACCAAAAGGGGAACGACAATACAGACTATAGGTAATCGCAGGCCCCCTCTGAACGGCTTAGGTTCTCAGGGGTCCAAAGTATCCCCAAAACAACCCTAAATCCTAAACTCTGAAACAGAAACCTAAACCCCTAAACCCCTAAACCCCAAACCCTAAATCTGAGCCCTGAGCAAGGAAGCCAAAACCGCCCAGCCTTCCAGGCCTTCTTCGGCTCTCCAACCGTCGCCAGCCTTGACTCTTGTTGAGGATTGTGCAGGTTATTGGGTTTAGGGTTTTAGGGCTTTCGGGTTTTAGGGCTTAGGCAGGGGTTTAGGGTTTATGGGTTCAGGGGTTTAGGGCTTCAGGGTTTAGGGGTGTAGGGTTTGGGTTTAGGGCTTAGGGGTTTAGGGTTTTAGGGGTTTAGGGTTTTAGGGGTTTGGGCTTAGGGGTTTAGGGTTTAGGGGTTTAGGGCTTTAGGGTTTTAGGGTTTAGAGGTTTAGGGTTTAGGGCTTCAGGGTTTAGGCGTGTGAGCTTGAGGGGTTGTGATTTTTGTGGCATACGGGTCCCGGAGTTTGGTTAAGGGAATTGGCATTCACGGGCAACGAAGCGGTCGGGGAACAGTTGATGTTCCTTTTGCCGGATTTTCGGTTCAAGCAGGTTGAGGTTTAGAGTTTGCGGCGGTTTACGGATTCAGCGCCTTAAACTTTAGAACTTAGGGTTCGTGGCTTAACTTGCTGAGCTCTAAACCTACCTTCAGAGCCTGAGCAATGACAAAACCCGCCATCCGCTGGGAAGCCTTAATCCTCCACCCTAATTAATTACTAGGGTTTAGGGTTTAGGGTCAACCCTAAACCCCAAACCCCCAACCCTAAACCCCCAACCCTAGACCCTAAACCCTAAAACTGCAAACTGAGCCTCAGGCCGTTTGCAGCCAACGCAACCTCACCCCCGATCCTGCCAAGCATATCAAGGCTTGGGGCTTTAGGGTTTTAGGGTTTAGCGTTTAGGGTTTAGGGTCTGGTGTTTGAGGGTTGGGGTTTGAGGGATTGGATATGTAGTGTAACCAGACTAGACGCCTTCAACCCGGCTATGTTGAAACTGGGTTGGGGGCCTTTGGAGTACGTTGTTTAGGCGAGCGGGAGCACATGGAGTTTCTGCGATCGACAATTTAGTAGGGAAACCTAAACCCTAAACCCTAAAACCCTAAACCCTAAACCCTAAAGCCTAAACCCTAACCCTAAACCCTAAACCCTAAACCCTAAACCCTAAACCTTTCTAGCCAAGATCCCAATTACAGTTCAGCAGCTCGCGAGCCTCTAAGCTTTGCCTAATGGACGGATGCCAATTAGGGTTTAGGGTTTAGGGCTTACGGTTTAGGGTTTAGGGTTTAGGGGTTTAGGGGTTTAGGGTTTAGGGTTTAGGGGTTTAGGGTTTAGGGTTTAGTCTAGATGCCATGTCCACACTCCCCGAGCTGCCGACCCACAACAGTCATCGAGCATGGCGGTTAGTATCTTAAAATTTAACCAAAGGCGCGGGACTAAGAACAAACGAGTGTGGAAGGCAGTGTGTGTGTGTGTGTCACACTACCAGTTCAGTTGGCTTGCCCTCTTTGTCGAAAACAAAATTGCGCGAAGTCCACGTCGTTGCCAGTACAAGCACCAGGTGGTGGTGATGGTGGTAGTAGTAGTAGTAGTCGTCGTCGTCGTCGTAGTAGGAGTAGTAGTAGTAGTAGTAGTAGTAGTAGCAGCAGCAGCAGCAGCAGCAGCCAGAAGTAGTACTTAGTAGCAGCAGCAGTAGTAGTAGGAGGAGGAGGAGTTGTTGTGGTCGTAGTAGGCGTTGCTGGAATGCAGCTGCACTATCGACAGTGCGGTGAAGGCTGGAACCATAGTTCACAACAACCCCACCTCACCTCCAAAGCGTTTCAGGATCCGCTGCAGCGCCGCCCCCGGGATCCTTGACTAATGTAGGGGCCTTATTAATTAGAATAGGGTTTTGGGGTATGTTCTACTATGCTTATAATAAGGAACCCCTAGAATAGGATAGGTAACCATTCAGGCCCCTACATTAGGGCGCGCGAGGTGTTCTTGCTTCTGAGCTTACTACTCTTAGCTTGGGGTTCATGGTTTGCTGGCGGCTGCAACCTGCAAACCTAATCTACCATCCCTTAGAGACCCAAAGCCCTAAACCCTGAAACCCTAAACCCTAAACCCTAAACCCAAAGCCCTAAACCCTGAAACCCTAAACCCTCCTAAACCCTAAACCCTAAACTCTCTTTCCTTAGCCCCTCAACCCCGACACCGTGACCCCCTCTATATCTATCTATATACAGAAAGGCATAGACACACTTATGTACCTTACTCCTTAGTTAACCGACTGACTGACTCTAATGGTCTGATGTAACAACTAAATTAAACAAAAACACTATATATGTATATATGTATAATATACATATCTATATATATACACATACACATACACACTCCTAAACCCTGTGCTTCTCGGAGCTGCTCGGAGGCTGAGTCGAAATTTCCTGTAATTCAGCAGCCTGCACAATTAGAACAGGGCTTCCTGTAGAGGGTGGCTTTAAACATGTTCTATAGGTTTTTGGGGAGGGGGCTTTAGGGGCCTGAATAGTCGGAACAGGGTTGTGTGGCATATCATGGTATGATCATAGTAAGGAACCCTTAGAAAGAGTAACTTTCAGACATGTTTGAGGCTTCTACATTTCGTTTGAGGTTCCGAGGCTGGACCGGGGATGCAGAGATTGTGTTCAGTCATCTGCGCCGAGCATATCTGTAGTCCCCTTAGTAGGGAAGGCGAAGACGCTGCTCGGAAGATTTCTTGAAGAGAAACCACAATGACAAGAAGCAATACTTGAAACGGTATTCAAGACTCATGTGCGATATGATGCGACTGTGCTGAGAATCTCATCTGGACTTGTCGGTATGCACTACCTGACTGGTATGAAGCATCCGCAAGCATGTTAAGTCACCAGTTCTCCAAAACAAACCTATATACCCTCGCCCAAAACCCCAGATGTTAGCCCTAAGCCCTGAACTTTAAAAAAAATGACCCCCATATTCCTTGCGGAAACTTTCCGGTAACCTTTACAGGATAGCTTATAACTTGTAACTTGAGGGAAAGGATATAGGCCCAACTTCATGCCAGGGCGGCTTTAGGTGGGCCCAGCAACTAGCCATAGACTTTGACTGACTTCGACAGCAAGATAGAAAGGAAGTAGTAGTAGTAGTAGTAGTAGTACTACTACTACTACTACTACTACTACTACTACGACTACTACTACGACGACTACTACTACAACAACAACGACGAGAACTACAACTACTACTGCTGCTGCTGCTACTAC